GTTTCCCTCTAGTGAACCGGCTTCTTCTGCAGCGATGGGGAGAACAGCATGTCTGGCTGCGGGAGCTGAGCCGGGGCGAGACGGGGAGGCGGCCTCTGAGGCCCAAGGGCCAGGTCGCTGGGCCGCTGATTGGGTGGCTCCTTCAGGTTTGTCCCAAGACGGAGACTCGAGCAGCGACTGCAGCCGGGAGGACAGCCCAGGGTCCCGGCTGCCCCGCTTCGTGCTGCAGGGGAAGACCCACTTCCCGGAAATGTTCCAGACCAGCCACCTCCTGTTCTACGAGCGGTTCAGCGCCTACCAGGACTACATCCTCGGTGAGCCGCCCCCGCGCTCAGCCTCTCCGTGTCCCAGGCGCTGTCTGTCTCAGGCCCGCCCACAGCCAGCAGCCCAGTGGGCCCTGGACCCCCTGGGTATGGTGCAGGCTTGCCTGCACGAGTGGCCTTGCCCACCCCCTGCCGGGCGCAGCCTCAGTGCCCGCCGTGTTTCCTCTCTGTGCAGCCGACTGCAAGGCCTCCGAGGTGAGAGAGTTCACGGCCGAGTTCCTGGAGAAGGTGCTGGAACCGTCTGGGTGGCGGGCGGTCTGGCACACCAACGTGTTCGAGGTGCTGGTGGAGGTAAATTTCATGCCCTTGTTAAGGCTCCCCTTCCTCTCTCGCTAAAAGCACTTCCCTTCCAGCTGTTGTGGCCAAAGCCTGGCTTGTAATTAAAGTTTATGAGCTGATTGAAACTAGCGTGTCTTTCACATCTAATCATCAGAGTGTGGGAAGTTCGCACATTTAGAGACACCTGAGGGGGAGCTGCCAGGGAGTCGGGGTGGCCGACCCCGCAGGGTCCTCGGGCAGGGGGACCTGGAGGACACACCCAGCAAGTGGAGGAGGGATTTGAGGCCTTCAGATAGGAAGCGGCCTCATCACGAAGCCAGCGGGGTTTCAGGTAATTTTTTTTTACTTCAGTGGCAGCCCATGAAATAGCTCGAGCCAAATGGGCGCTTTAGAAACCAGCCTGGTGTTTCGCCTGGCAAATCTGTGGATAGGCGGCTCATCTCGTGAAAATGGGTCCCGTTGCAGAGAGGAAAAGCAACCTCACTTTTCAACCGACTGGGCCTTTTCCACGGAATTTGCACTCTAATTACAGCTGTGACATTATCTCCGTGTTTGTTAACTGGACCACAGAAACGCTGTTAAACTCAGAGGTGACACCGGGGAGTGTAAATACAGGACATTGTGCGGCTCCTGTGCACAGGGACGGCCCAGGCTGCAGGGGGGCTGGGGGGGGGGAGCGTTTCACTCTGAGTTATGCTAACATCCTGGGCTGCAGCTCAGGCCTGTCAATTAGGCTATGATACCCCCCCCCCCCCCACCCCCCCCCCACTCCCCCATCAGCCATTGCTTTAAAAGAGGAATGTGCTCTTCGGCTGAAAACCTCCGATGCGTTTACCAAAGGCCTGGTCTGGCCTGCCGGCTCCTCCCCGCTGGAGAGCACCTCAGACGCAGGCCCCTTCCCACGCGCTTCCCTCCCGTCTCCTTGCCTCTCTCTCGCCTCGTCTCCTGCTGCTCCCCCACCGCCGCCATTTCCTTCCTCTGCTGCCAGCAGGAAACTCAGCCTTTTTGCACCAGCAGCTGCCAAGCTGGTCTCTGCCACAGGCCCTTGGCACCTCCCCGCTCTTCACCCTGTCCATTGCGGCTCCCAAGTGACTTGCACCCCTGCTAGTGATTCTCTGCCACGTACTTGCCACCATCTTGCGGTTTGTTTCCTCCATTACAGTGTAAGCTCCACGTGGGTCAGAGCCAGGCCCGTCTTGTTCATCCTCTGAGTGAGGGAAGGAGGCGCTCCACTCCCGTTTTATGTTAAAAAAAATCATCAGCCACGGGCAGTGTTGAGCGCGCCTCTTCATGTGATTTCCGTGTGCTAAGCCCCTTGTTTTAACTTTGAGGTCACGGATGTGGACTTCACAGCCCTGAAGGCCGTGGTGCGGCTCACAGACCCCTGCCTGTGCGAGTCCCACGTGGGCACCTTCACCGCCGAGTGCGTGCGGGAGCTCCTGGAGCTGAAGGGACAGCGGCTGCCCCTGCAGGAGCTGTGGGTGGTGTTCGACGGCTCCGGGGCGTTGGACCAGACCGCGCTGGCCATCGAGCACGTCAGGTGGGCGGCGCCGGGGGAAGTGGCCCTCGAGCCCAAGCCTGGGCCCAGGGCGGTGGTCTGTCCTCGCTGCCCCAGACTCAGCCCTCAAGCTGCAAGCGGTCGCTGCAGCGTTTAAAACGGTCAAAGGCAGGGGAATCGTTTTTACATTTAAGAAATGTAAAGAAATGTTTAAAATGCTGCTTTGGAGGTAATTTCAGACTTACAGGAAAGATGAGAAAAGTACAGACAATTCCTGCGCCCCACTCTCCACTGCTCACAGGTAGCCAGTGACTAGTTCAGGTAAGAGGAGGTGCCCGCAGAGCCCGCGCTGGGAACACCGTGGCCGGTTCAGAAAGGGCTGTGGCCGCGACCACAAGAGCAGGCAGCCCAGCGATTTCTCCTGCAGGGGATGGAGCTGTGGGTTTTCCTTGGCTCCACCGTCCAGCCCCCCACCCAGAGCCAGGGGTTGGACTTGAACGGTACTATTTCCGCTTCAGGTTTTTCTACCAACACATTTGGAGGAGTTGGGATGAAGAGGAGGAGGACGAGTACGACTACTTTGTCCGCTGTGTGGAGCCTCGACTGAGACTGTGAGTGTCCACTTACGACCTTTACCTTCACCTGTGGTTCAGCTTGACCCGTGGGTTAACTTCACCTGTGGTTCAGCTTGACCCGTGGGTTAACTTCACCTGTGGTTTAACTTCACCTGTGGTTGAACTTGACCCGTGGGTTAACTTCACCTGTGGTTTAACTTCACCTGTGGTTGAACTTGACCCGTGGGTTAACTTCACCTGTGGTTTAACTTCACCTGTGGTTGAACTTGACCCGTGGGTTAACTTCACCTGTGGTTTAACTTCACCTGTGGTTGAACTTGACCCGTGGGTTAACTTCACCTGTGGTTTAACTTCACCTGTGGTTGAACTTGACCCGTGGGTTAACTTCACCTGTGGTTTAACTTCACCTGTGGTTGAACTTGACCCGTGGGTTAACTTCACCTGTGGTTTAACTTCACCTGTGGTTGAACTTGACCCGTGGGTTAACTTCACCTGTGGTTTAACTTCACCTGTGGTTGAACTTGACCCGTGGGTTAACTTCACCTGTGGTTTAACTTCACCTGTGGTTGAACTTGACCCGTGGGTTAACTTCACCTGTGGTTTAACTTCACCTGTGGTTGAACTTGACCCGTGGGTTAACTTCACCTGTGGTTTAACTTCACCTGTGGTTGAACTTGACCCGTGGGTTAACTTCACCTGTGGTTTAACTTCACCTGTGGTTGAACTTGACCCGTGGGTTAACTTCACCTGTGGTTTAACTTCACCTGTGGTTGAACTTGACCCGTGGGTTAACTTCACCTGTGGTTTAACTTCACCTGTGGTTGAACTTGACCCGTGGGTTAACTTCACCTGTGGTTTAACTTCACCTGTGGTTGAACTTGACCCGTGGGTTAACTTCACCTGTGGTTTAACTTCACCTGTGGTTGAACTTGACCCGTGGGTTAACTTCACCTGTGGTTTAACTTCACCTGTGGTTGAACTTGACCCGTGGGTTAACTTCACCTGTGGTTTAACTTCACCTGTGGTTGAACTTGACCCGTGGGTTAACTTCACCTGTGGTTTAACTTCACCTGTGGTTGAACTTGACCCGTGGGTTAACTTCACCTGTGGTTTAACTTCACCTGTGGTTGAACTTGACCCGTGGGTTAACTTCACCTGTGGTTTAACTTCACCTGTGGTTGAACTTGACCCGTGGGTTAACTTCACCTGTGGTTTAACTTCACCTGTGGTTGAACTTGACCCGTGGGTTAACTTCACCTGTGGTTTAACTTCACCTGTGGTTGAACTTGACCCGTGGGTTAACTTCACCTGTGGTTTAACTTCACCTGTGGTTGAACTTGACCCGTGGGTTAACTTCACCTGTGGTTTAACTTCACCTGTGGTTGAACTTGACCCGTGGGTTAACTTCACCTGTGGTTTAACTTCACCTGTGGTTGAACTTGACCCGTGGGTTAACTTCACCTGTGGTTTAACTTCACCTGTGGTTGAACTTGACCCGTGGGTTAACTTCACCTGTGGTTTAACTTCACCTGTGGTTGAACTTGACCCGTGGGTTAACTTCACCTGTGGTTTAACTTCACCTGTGGTTGAATGTGTGCTCCAGGGGCCCAGACAGATACAGGCCGGCAGGTGTACAGAATTGTCACTCGTTGGCAATTCTGCGATGAAGCTTGTACGTGTGGGGAAACCTACTGGTCGTGTTTATAGACTGAGTCTCAAGCAGAGAGTTCAAGAGCATCTACGTTAACAGCTCAGTGTTTTGCAAATCTGTATAAAACTTGAGGTAATGTGTTAAAAACAACCATTTTTGTTAAGTTCAAAGACTACTTGAAATACAGTGGAATTAGCTGAATTACAGAAGACTTTCTTGCTTCTGAAGATGTGGCTTTGCAGACTGAGTCTCAAGCAGAGAGTTCAAGAGCATCTATGATAACAGCTCAGTGTTTTGCAAATGTGTATAAAACTTGAGGTAATGTGTTAAAAACCATTTTTGTTAAGTTCAAAGACTACTTGAAATACAGTGGAATTAGCTGAATTACAGAAGACTTTCTTGCTTCTGAAGATGTGGCTTTGCTGTCAGTTCCCACAGGAAGACACACCTGAGACTCACCTCGAGACGCGTTATCGGCTTCCTGTCCTCAAGTGTAATTTGACATATGGTCGAAAATGTTAATAGTAGTGAGTCCGATGTCCAAAATACCTGCACACTTTCTTCTAGTATCATACTTTGGTAGGAAAAACCCTTTCACACAAAAATACCCCCAATTGCCCATCATTCCGCCCAAATAGCTGTCTGTTCTTGCTAAATGCGGCATTTAGCCTTCCACTAGATGGCGCTCTAACACCACTCAGTTCCCACTGGTGGGCCCTGAACAGTAAATAAAATGAGAGCGGGCACTCCCAGGAGAGGAGAGTTTGTGGGGAGGACTTTCCCGGCTGAGAGAGGACTTGGTTGCGCACAATCCGGCAGCAAGCCCTGCACGTGTGGGCTGCTTGGATGGGTCGCCCTCTGGGTCTAGTTGTAGGTAGTAAGAGAAGAGTGTGCGGAGTCTGGATCACGCTCACTGGTGGAGGGCTGTGCCCTGGGGGAGGGCTGTGCCCTGGGGGAGGCCTGTGCCCTGGGGGAGGGCTGTGGCTGCTGGTCTCAGTGCCTCAGGCTGGCCGTAGTGAGCACAGGAAGGGATTACACCTGCGCACCACGGGCGGGCCGGAGGTGTTTCTAGTCACGGAGGAGACACGCACGTGGGGGAGGCGCTGGAGTGCCCACGGCAGGCAGACGCTGTACGAGGGTCCCAGGTGAAGGTCAGCAGCGCTCAGCAGGCTCGACTCAGGGGTCACCACTGCAAGGCTCCTCTCTCATCGGAGCTGGCGCCAGGCTGTGACCGCGAGTGTCCCTGAGCGAGAAGGAGCGAGCCGACCAGCGGGTACGAGGAAGGCTGAGGGGCTGGCTTCAGAGCCTGAGTCTTAATCTGCATAAGTCAGACACCTCACCTGCATCAGGGGTTCGGGCCCAGCGTCTTGTTTGCACAGTGGATTTCCAGACCGTCCTTACGTGAGTGGCTTAGCCCAGCAGACACGGTCCTGGTTCTCAAGCTGCACCTCGTTCGTTCGCTTGATCAGCAGGAAAGGTTATTGTGCTCGTGTTTGAACACTGAGGCTCGTGGTGATTGCTGTAAGCTTGCCGAGGGTGTGGTTCTGCTTCCAGAAGAACATAGAGCCTGGCTGAGTGTGAGAGGACCCGCCTGTCCCCACAGCCCCACCTCCTGTCCCCACAGCCCCGCCTCCTGTCCCCACAGCCCCGCCTCCTGTCCCCACAGCCCGCCTCCTGTTCCCACGGTCCCCAGGAGCTTTACAAGCACCTGTCACTCCTGGACCCCAGTTTTACTGTCTGGGTGGGCCTAGCTCCCCAGCGGTTCTCAGGTGCAGCCAAGGTTGAGAAGCCCAGACCTGACGCATCTTCAAGAAAATACACTTTTAACAGTGACAACAGCATTGCCCCTCATTTTCAGACCCATCCGTTTCACAGGCCTCAGCTGGACTGTGCATTCATCCGTTAGCTATCCTCTTGCATCTAGAAGGACTTTGCATGGACTCGAGAAGGCACATAAATTAGTAATGAACTTTAAGTGCTGATAAGGTTGTCCAACCCGAGGTTCTTTGGTGTTAATCTCCAGTTCAGTGAGCACGGCTGTTTTCTCTCAGACCTGGGAGGCTTCCGTTTTGAGCGACTCTGACGGCCTCCCCGAGGGACTGTGTGATTTCGTCCCACGTGCTCTGTGAGGAAGGGCCGGGATTTGCATCATTTGTCATCTTTCATCCTATGAATGTGGTCGTCCTGTAGGTTGTTAGGAGACTATTTGGGGTACTTCCCTCCCCACCCCACCCCACCCCCAGACTGCCCTCTGCGACCCATTTATTAAGATTTTGAATCTAACGTATGAGAAAATATTCCATGCAGCGGCTCCACTTCCGAGGGACGGGCTCAGCCCTGCCCGCCCCCAGCCCCACGCGGGAAGTGCGTCCCTGGGCCTCTGAGTGCGTGGCCAGCTCAGTGGCCGGAAGTGTCTGCGGGGGGGGGCTCAGCCTGCTTTGCACTTGCAGGCACTACGACATCCTGGAGGACCGCGTCCCCTCCGGCCTGGTCGCCGACTACCGCAGCCTGCTGGCGCAGTGCGAGGGCGTCTACAGGAGCTTCCTGAACCTGCGGAGCAGCCTGTCGGCCTGCCACGCGGACTCGGAGCAGGAGAACGTGTCCATGGTGCAGGGGCTGGAGCTGTACTCGGAGCTGGAGCAGCTCAAGCAGAAGCTGAAGCTCATCGAGAACCCCTTGCTGAGGTGCGGGTCTCACCCCTCGCCTGCCCGCTGCCTGGCTTCTTTCCTTTCTAAAAAAATATGTTTTTATTGGTTTCAGAGAGAGGAAGGGAGAGGGAGAGAGAGACAGAAACATCAACGATGAGAGAGAATCATGGATCAGCTGCCTCCTGCACGCCCCACATCGGGGATCAAACCCGCAACCCGGGCCTGTGCCCTGACCAGGAATCGAACCCTGACCTCCTGGTTCATAGGCCGCTGCTCAACCCCTGAGCCCTGCTGGTAGGGCCTCCTGGCTTTTTCTCAGGCCATGCTGCTCACAGCTCCCTGGTTCCTTCCAGGTACGTGTTCGGTTACCAGAAGAATTCTAACGTCCAAGCAAAGGGTGCCCGTCTGAGTGGCCAGAAGGTCACGCACATCGTCTCCTCCACCATGGTGACCGGGCTGCTGCAGGCCCTGCTCAGGGACCGGCTCTGTCAGGAGCCGGGCGCGGAGGACACGGAGGTCCAGGTGAGGAGGGTTCTCGCTCGAGTGGCTTCCCTCTTGCTCTTCAGGTTCCCGAGTCTGCGGACGAGGGACCAGAGCTGGTCTGTGCGCGGGCGGTGACGGCCCTGCCTTGGTCGGCACTCGGCAGGCGCGCCCTGGTGCACGGTGGCAGCACGGGATGCTCTGTGTGCGGGGACCCCTTTAGAGTGAAGTGTGGGACCCAGAAACCCTCGGGTCGCACCACGGCCTTGCTGCCTTCTAGTTCCACAGTGACCCGCTGTCGGCCGTCAGCGCCTGCTATGAAGGCGACAGGGTGATCGTCTGTCCTGGCCGCTACGTGGTGCAGGGCGCCATCTCCATCGCCGACTCCATCGAGCTGGAAGGTGAGTGGATGGTCGCAGGACCAGGCCGCGCTCAGGCAAGACGGGCTTCAGGAATGGGGACCCGCCGGCCTTGTGGGATGGAGCTCCAGGAGGGAATGTGGTGTCAGCCCCTCGATTTCACACATGCAGGACCGACCTGGTGTCTGAGCAGCCGGGGGTGGGGGGTGTTCTCTGTGGCATCATGTGTTGGAGGACACACAGAGGAGGAAAAGGCCACAGGCACTGGCCAGGGTTTCTCAGTGGTTAGAGCTCAGCCCATGAACCAAAGGTCACGGGCTGGATTCCCAGTCAGGGGCACACACCCGGTTGCAGGTTCGAGGCAAGGCCCCTGTGTGAGGCAGCCAGTCACTGTGCTTCACACCCACGTCTCCCCCCCCCTCTCTCTCTGTCTCCTCTTCCCTGCCTTCCACTCTCTAAAAAGATCAGTGGGAAAGGATTAACAACAAGAAAAGACTACTTTCCAGATTGTAGGAGGTTCATGGGGAGGAAATCTTGTTTCTAGAATAAAAAATATTCCAGCAATATATTTTTAAAAGACGTTAAAATATTATTTTACATGTTGCTTATCTTATTTCATAAATGTTGTGGATATATTGATGCATTACTTAAAGTTTAGCTTATTTAAAAAACATTTTTTATTGATTTTAGAGAGGAAGGAAGAGGGAGAGAGAGACAGAAACATCAGTGATGAGAGAGAATCATGGATCGGCTGCCTCCTGCACGCCCTGCTCTGGGGAACGCAACCCGGGCCTGTGCCCTGCCCGGGAATCAAACTGTGACCTGCTGGTTTCTAGGTGAATGCTCAGCCCCTGAGCCACGCCGGCCGGGCAGTGCTCTCGCACACTCGGAGGAGTCGGGGTGCTCTGCTTTGCACACTCAGGGAGAGGCCTGGCTTCAGGTTGCTGTGCGGCCGTTCATCTCGGTCCTGTGTGTTTCCATAATGTGTCAGATCTACTTGCACCTGTTCAGCTATTTACCAAAGGGCGTCAGGTCGGCAATAAAGCCGGCAATGCAGACAGGCATCCATCACCGGGGGCCTCGCAGCTGTTCGCAGGCGCCTCCGTGGTCCTCTGTCTTCGTCTTGTCAGAGCTCCTGATGGGGGCGAGGCCGCTCATTCCTGGTTCGCCGCTCAGCACCCCGCACTGTTTAACTCTGTTTAAGTGTGCTGTGTCCTCCTGCCCCGAGCCCGCACGCAGGGGAGGTGTGAATAGCACACCTGCGGGCAGGCCCTGCAGTGGGAGGGGGGGGGGGGGGGGGGGGTGGTGGTAGAGATCGCACTGGGTCTCAGCTCTGCCTGGGCCGTAGGAAGTTACCGCGCAGTGGCCCAAGCGCCGCAGATGGCGTGGGAATTCTGAGTTCCGTGTAACCGCGGCTCGTCACTCCCAGGGCATTTCCGAGTCGGGGCGGTGGCGGTCGGTCGCTGGTGTGAGTGTGGAGGACGAGGGAGGCTTCTCTGACGCTGACCTGTCGGCAGCCACACCTGTGATGAGACGTGCCGAGTGCTCAACATGCGTGTGGCAGGCTGTCCTTGCTTAGAATGTCCTCCGCTTGGGTGATGGTTGGTACTTAAACTGCTAAGAATACATGTTCATGTCAGAATCTCAGCGTTTCTCACGATGGCATTTTTTTAACGTTTAAGTTTTTCTGAGGGAAACGTGCAAACACGTTCAGATTAGCTGAGACCCGAGGTTTTCAGTGGCAACAAGGGCAGCCTGGCTTTCCAGCAGCTGAACATCTTCTAAGTCAGTTTGCCAGGTTTTTTGTTGTTGTTAATCCTCACCCAAGGATATTTTTCCCCTTGCTTTTTAGAGAGAGTGGAAGGGAAGGGAGGGAGGGAGAGGAGAGGAGAGGAGAGGAGAGAGAGAGAGAGAGAGAGAGAGAGAGAAAGAGAAACATTGATGTGAGAGCGCCATTGATTGGTTGCCACCCAAACTCACCCCATCCGGATGGGGATGAGCTGCAACCGAGGTACGTGCCCTTGAATTGAACCTGAGGCCCTTCAGTGCCCTGGCCGACACTCCAACCACTGAGCCACACCAGCCAGGGCTGCTGGTCAGACTTTAAGTCAGTCTGTTTAAGAGATTAACATTAGATAATCCTGAAAACTGCCCAGGCTTTCTGAAACCTAATTCATATTAGAAGAACAGAATCGTAGAGTTGGCAAAAAATACATGTGTCACATGCTTTAGAGCCCTCGGGCCCAGCGTGAGTGCCCAGGGTTTGTAAGTGCTGAGCTGGTCTGAGCTGGTATCGGGTGGTGTTCCTGATATGGAGGCAAACTGAGGAGATTTATGGAAAGTTGTATCTACTCCGGCTTACGTTGAACAAGTTATGTGGGGGGAGAGTTCGATTTTATTTCAGTGCAACTGCGGGCCTGGTCGCGTAGCGTTAGGAGGCACTGGAGACCGACATGACGGAGCAGCTCATGTTGGGACGCGCCCTGCACCCCCGCTACCGGCCGGCTCTCTCCCTCAGGGTACGGGCTGCCCGATGACATCGTGATAGAGAAGAGGGGCAAGGGGGACACCTTCGTGGACTGCTCGGGCGCCGACGTGAGGATCTCCTGCGTGAAGTTTATCCAGCACGACGCCGTCGAGGGGATCTTAGGTGGGTCTCTGAGTGCACGTGTCCACTGGGTCCGGCTGAGGCCACCACTTCCCCGCAGGTCAGTCCGGGAGCCCCAGGAGGTCAGTCCAGGGACCCCCGGGAGCCCCAGGAGGTCAGTCCAGGGACCCCCGGGAGCCCCAGGAGGTCAGCCCAGGGACCCCCGGGAGCCCCAGGAGGTCAGTCTGGGACCCCCGGGAGCCCCAGGAGTCTGGTTAGTACTCAGGTACGCGGCGTGCCGGCCTGGGGAGCCCATTCCAGAGAGCAGTCCCAGCCTGCTCTTGAACGCTGGCGGTTCCATGTGGGTTTCTGTGTGACCCCCTTTCTTTTAAAACACCCCAAGATCGCCGTCTGTGTTCTTCGTATCAGTTTAGCCCACGATGCCAACTAGCCGTCTTCACGAGTCGCTAGTGTGTGTGTCCTGGGGTCCGCGGCCCCTCCCTCCTTGAATTGGCCTCCAACGGGCTCGGGGAAGTGATTGTCGGATACTTTCTTCCTTTTAATAAAAAGTGCTTTTTAGCTGGGTTTCCCATCTCGGAGGTCCAGTCATCGTGTTTAAGCGGCAGCTTTTAGGTTAGACAGTGGCTAACAGCAGTCATTGCTGACGCGTTTGAATTTGTAAATCCGGTAATGACGTGTGAGTGCAGCTCTCAGCGATACTCAGACCTCTGGTGCCACCCGGGGCCTCTTCTCGCGTGGGAGAGTTCGCACTGAGCGTGTCGCGTGTCCCCCTCAGTCATCCACCGGGGCAGGACCACCGTGGAGAACTGCGTGCTGCAGTGCGAGACCACCGGCGTGACCGTGCGCACCTCCGCGGAGCTTGTCATGAAGACCTCGGACCTGTGTGGGGCTAAGGTGGGTGCCTCCCGCCTGTCCTGGAGGCCACGCTCCAGTCCCCAGCGGGGTGTGGGTGTCGCGCAGGCCGGGAAGGGGAAGCGTGGCCGCAGACCTGCTCTGTGACACGGTCGGGCACCCGCAGCACGCTGAGTAGGGGGGAGGGGGGCTGTGCTGGGGCCGGGGGCCAGGCTCCAGTCCCCAGCGGGTGTGGGTGTCGCGCAGGCCGGGAAGAGGAAGCGTAGCCGCAGACCTGCTCCGTGACACGGTCGGGCACCCGCAGCGCGATGAGTAGGGGGAGGGTGGCTGTGCTGGGGCCGCACTCATTCATTCAGGGCCGTCCATGACCTAGAAGGGTCGCTGGTTTCTGGTGGACATTCTTTACCAAGTTGAGGGAATTCTCTGTTTCTGAGAATTTTTATAATGAATGTGTGTTGCCTTTTGTCAGATGTATCTTCTGCATTATTTAATATGGTCCCGTGGTATTGATCGATTGATCGATTGATCGAATCAGAAGATGGATTTGTCCAGAGTGAGAGTGGAACAGTAGTGAACGGCTGACAGTTTAGCCAGTGTTGTGTGCATGCGCGTGTGTGTGCGTGTACGTGTGCATGTGTGCGTGTACGTGTGTGTGTGTGCGTGTGCGTGGTCTCAGAGGGATGAATGATGGACCACTTCCTGGAAACGGAGCGGTGGCAGCGTCATTAGAAACAGCATTTCCTAGGAAACGCTTCCTGCTGCACTTTGCATTCGCTCGTGTTGGGGTCTAAGAAGTGGTTGTAGTGACCCTCACGGCCCTGCCTTTTACAAGGGCTGTCGTTGCCTTGCCTGCGGTCTAGGGGGCTGGCGTGGAGATCTACCCCGGCAGCACGTGCTCCCTGAGCGACAGCGGGATCCACCACTGCCGCGAGGGCATCCTCATCAAGGTGAGCCTCCCCCGGGCGCTCCCGCAGGCGGATGTGTTACCGCGTTCCCACCCGCGTGGGAGACTCGGGACCGTACGTGGGTTTCGGGGCTGCAGACACCTGGCGGTGCAGGGCTCTCAGGAGGCCTCGCGTGCCACCTCGCTCGGCCGCCCCGGGCCGTGCGCCCACTTCCTGCTTCAGGTTTGGAACAGCCCAGAACTGCGGTGATAGGCAGGCGGCGCTGACCGGGACGTGGTTCTCACGCTGGTCCTCGTTGTCACAGGACTTCTTAGATGAGCATTACGACCTTCCCAAAATCTCCCTGGTGAACAACATCATACACAACAACGAGGGCTACGGCGTTGTCTTGGTGAAGCCTAGAATCTTCTCTGACCTGCAAGAACACGCCCAGGGCGGAGCCGAAGGTACGCCCACCAGTGCCCCCGAGCGCCTCCTGCCCACCGTCTTTCTGGGCAGCAGAGCTGAGCTGACTCGGTGGGACGTGCATGGAATTCAGGCCCCGACCCGATGCTGCGGTTCTGTCGTGAGAAGGGTGGCCCTTGGCCTGGTGGGGAGGCCTCTTCCTCCCGCCGCTGCAGGGAGTTCTGTGTCCTCAGGGTTCTGTAGGTCAGAGTGCAGGGGCGTGGCCGAGGGTCTCACAAGGCCGCTGTGAGGTGTCAGTCGAGGGCTATGACCCGAAAGTTCCGGGGGAGGATCTGAGCTGGTCCTGCTGTTGGCAGAATCCCTCTCCTGAGGGGGTGGGACTGAAGTCTCCGTTTACCTGTTGGCCGTTGGCTGGGGGTCACTCTCAGCAGCACAACCCCCGTCTCAGCAGCAGGGGCCTCACTCCAGCGAGTCTCTTCGTGCTTCCTTCTCCCGTGAGGCCGTGGGGTTAGGTCCACACACCCATTTACCTCCCAGAGTCCACAGATGAGTGACCTCAATTACATCTGCTCGACCCCTGGGCCATTTCACAGTTAAACGTCAGAGCAGGGGCCAGATCCTGGAGCCACCGAGCTCCTGACAGTGCTGGGCGGAGGGCGACGGGACAGGAGGGGCCATGCGTGAGGCGGTCCCAGGAGGGAAGAGGGCCCTTGGCCACCCTGTCCGGGGCTCAGGGACGGTGTCTGAGGACAAGGCCCTGGCTCGCTGGACGCAGGGCGAACAGTTGCCACCTCCCCTGTCGGGGAAGCCTCGGAAGCTCGCATTGCCGGGGAGTGCCTGTCAGTTGGGCTCCTTTGTCTACTTAACTTTGTTTGTTTCTCCAGAAAATAAAGCACCTAAAGCGCAGCCGCGGGGGGAGGACCCGGAGGAGCTGATGGAGGGCGCGGCCCGGAAGGGGGGGCTTCGTACGAGGCCCGGGCCCCCTGGGCAGCTGGAAGGCAACTGCGAGATCGTCAGTGAGCTGGTGGCCGCCTCCGCACAGAAAGGGCAGCTGAGGAAGAAGCGGCTGAGCGAGCTGGGGATCACGCAGGCGGACGACACCCTCATGTCCCAGGGCCTGTTCGTGGCCATCGCCGAGAACCAGTTCAAGTGGAACGGGAAGGGCAGCTTCGGCACGTTTCTCTTCTGACTGTGCGGGAACTTGCACACGGACCCCAGGCCCCGCGCACCACTGCTCGCTCCCCGTCTGCTTCACGCTCGCGGGCCGCTGGGACCGGTGTGGGGGGACCCGCCTGCAGGTGCACGGACGCCCCCTCTGTCCGAAGGCGCTGGCATCGTGTGAAGCGGGGCGTACGCGGGATCCCTGTCCAGACGGGCGCGCACGGTTCTCTGACACAGCCCGTCACAGCCCTGGTGTAAGCGCACCACCCCTGGCTCTCCCCAGGAGCCAGGCCGGGGCGCAGGGCGGGCACGAGGGCCCATCCTGGAACACACAGGCCCCTGCGGTGCCCTCTGATCCGGAGGCAGCGCGTCCGGCCCCTGCGGAGTTTGCACAACTCTCCTCTCAGAGGAGCAGCTCTATGATGGCAGCCTGGCCTGGTCAGGCTCCCGCCGGGGGGCTGCGTGCTTACGTCGCTCTGTGCCATCCTGAGAGCAGACGTGGAGCGTGTGCCCGGAGCGGAGTGAGCGTGGAGCGTGGACGAGCGTGGGAGCGTGAGAAGGCGCTCCTCACCATAGCAGTGTTCTGATCCGATTCTCACCCGGGGGAACCTACAGACTAGGTCAGCTCTGCAGTCCGTGTCATGTAAAGCCCAGCTTAAAGGTATTTATATTTAAAAGGTTACATGTACATTAATATACTAACGATTAAAGTGACTGATGAGTAAATCGGACCTTGTGTTTCCCACTGTGGTGGCCAGGGCGCCCCTGGGACCCTGTGAGTGACACGCAGGGAGGGCTCAGTGTTTCAGGACCAGAATCCCTTCTCCGCAGGGCGGGGCTGGCTCTAACCTGATTACATCGTAAATCTCAGGTGCTGTGAGATGTGGGGGTGCGCATTCACTTCTGTGGGACCAGAGGCGTTTTTCTTTATCTTGAGATCCTCCGGCACAAGTGCTGCTAACGAATTCTGGACCCACTTGAGCCAGATACGACGGAAAGACCATGTATTCAACTGAGGCGGTGGCTGCCCGGCCACCACCTGTGCCCGCCCGGGCCCTCCCTTGCGGTGACAGCGGCGGGTACGGGGTCCCTGAGTCACCCGAGCGTTTCCTGCCGGAGGGGGCGGCTGGGGACAAGGAGTGTGCGTGTGCCCTCACGTAGTGATTTCATTCCAGCGCCTCACCTGGGCTCTTGGCACATTTTATTTCTTAGATCAATGAACTTCCCTTCAGAACATTTATGTATCAAACACTGACAATACGTATGTGACATCAGTGACAGCTAAGGCTTGGGCTCTTTCTTTCCTTTTTATAAAAAAATATTTTTATTGATTTCAGAGAGGAAGGGAGAGAGGGGGAGAGAAACATCAATGATGAGAGAGAATCCTTGATCGGCTGCCTCCTGCATGCCCCACACTGGGGATCGAGCCCACAACCGAGGTATGTGCCCTGACCAGGAATCGAACCCTGACCTCCTGGTTCCTAGGTCGACGCTCAATCACGGAGCCACGCCGGCCGGGCTGAATGTGTGCAATGTCTCAGGCCCGTGTGCACGTGGACACTTCCTGTCTCCAGTGGGGAAGCTTTAGAGGCACCGTGACTAGAATGGAGGCCAAGCTCGGGCAGGACGGAGGGGGACGCTCCCGTTGGGATGTGGCGACTTCGGGGTGCGTGGAAGGTGACCCCCGTGTGGTCATGTCGTGCATTTTGTGGAGACTGTTGCTCTGATGAGAGCAGGACAGAGCTCCCACCCGCTGCCCCGGCCGTGCGGGCGCCGTCCGAGGTGCCACGGGGAGGGCTCTGCGTTCGGTGCAGCAGGAGGTGGCTGTCCTGGGACGGAAAGGGCGGCTCCGACATGCAGCCACTGTCCTCCCCGGGGCCTGCCTTTCAATAAAGCCCCTCATTCAGTGCCCTCAGGTCCCCGGTGCCCCGAGCTGTGGTCGCCTAATTCAGCGTCACAGCCACCCCCAAGCATCGCGTGCCCAGCGCGCGCCTTACCTGCGAAGGGTCCGGACGGCAGGCGTG